ACACAAAGGGCATGGTTAATGTATACAGACTGATACTCTGTCCCTGCTGGTTTGGAAAACGCCTGGTCAACTTCAGAGGAAAGTCAGAAGCAGACGAAAGAAAAGCACTGGCAGGGAGTAAACTCGGCCTTGCTTTCTACAGCCATGAGCGCAGAGGTTCAAGTTAGGCTGTCTCAAAACCCAACAGTTCGCTTAAAAAAGAAAGTCTAGAAGCAAAATATTTCAGGTGCCTTTTGGTCAAACAGTGCCCATTAGCTGTCATGAGCTCTCATTTAGACCTCTTCTCCAGGCCGAGCACTCCTACAGTTTATGGGAAAAGATTGGTCTCCCATGTCACACACAATACTGATAGTTACAGAGAACTCAGACTGGTAATCTCTCCGTCCAGTAGTCCAAAGGACAGATGGATGGGAAGGATCCTTAAGGAGTGGCAAGATGGGGCAGAGATTCTACCTGTCACTCCTCAAAGGGTCAGCGTGTAGACTTGGAAACCTTATCCAACATCAGTTCATCCTTGATGTCACAGATGAATGTTTAAAAATACATTTGAAATTAGAAAAATATATAATCAGCCTAGCTGCTGGTTACATCAAGATTATGGCCACTAAAAAGATTATGGTTTTTAATGATCAAATATGAAACATACAGACTAAAGCAGCCTCAGTGTTTCTGCAATATAAATTGTGAGTATTTAGAAAACAGAAAAATCCATCTTTTTCTTTTCTTTTGGTACTAAGGGGAGAAGGAGAGGGGGCCTGGACATAGGAGGCTAACGTTCTACCAACTGAACTATTCCCCAGGCCTGCACAAAGCATCTCCTTCACAAAGTATTCACAGACAACACATTCTATACAAGGAATTTTACTGATAGTGAAAATTTTAAGAAAACTGAATTCCACATCCTGTATCTATTTATTCATCCACCCACCCATCCCTCCACGAAGTTAACTTTTGTACCAATAAATGGCTCTTTCTAAATGTTACCTTCTTAGGAGACACAGAGCTAGTTACAAAGCCGAAGGATGCTCCCCCAGATGTTTGGCAAAGATCTGTTTACTGATCTTGCTGATTGGTATTGTGAACCCCCTGGCTGGGATGGAAAGATGGGAGAAATGGTGACTACAGAACTATGAATTAGATTTAGAGATATTCCACTAAACGTTAAAAACATCGGGGATGAAATTGCACAGCATATATTTGTTTAGATACCATATTGTTTTTTACCTGGGTAATGTTTACAACAACATGGTGCTCAGCTCCACTGAGGGCAACGCAGGTGACAGGAGTGTGTTGTCGCTATGTATGTCCTCTGACATAACTGCCGTACACAGCATTGAGAGACTGCCTATGAAAACGGCACTGAGACGCCATCCCACGGAGAATCAAGGCTCCCTTACACCAATGCACAACCTCTGTTTTTTAGTATTTCTAATATTTATTTATTACATCTATACACATGTGGGCATGTGCTTGCCGTGGCACACATGTGGAGGTCAGAGGCCAACTTGTGGGAGTTGGTTCTTTTCTTTTACTCTGTCGGTTCCAGGGACAGAACTCAGGTCCTCAGACAGCAAGTGCTCTTACCCAATGAACCATCTCTCAGGCCCCAGACCTTCTGTCTTCCAAAGAACTAAATCCTCTTTAGGAGAGGAAAACAAAACAAAACAAAACAAAACAAACCTTGGCTCAGCAGTGGCAGCCATTTGAATTTTTGTTTGTCAAGATCTAACCATCACTTTCTCACTGTTCTATCCATCAAAGGTCCTCTAAATGGGACACAAGTCCCAGGTAAGAGCTACCATAGGAATGATGCTTAAAATGAGGCTAGGAACGGAACCAATTTTCACATGGTGAAAACAAACGCTAAATTCTTCCGGACTGTTCAAGGTAAGTGTGACATTTATTACCAATACACCGAGTATTTTCAAAGGTTTACGGTGCCTCGCATCTGTGTGACAAACTGGAGGAAAGATGGAGGCTCACACTGGAGCCTTCAGCCTTCCCAGCTCCTGATGCAAGCAGAGACGGCAGAGCCATTGAACACCAACTGCCCCAGCTCCAAGTCTTACAGCACTCATCTACTTTCATGATGACCAGAACAGGTGCCCCTTGCTGCCATACTACAAATCATCCCCACTCTTTTCCTGTGCGCAAAGGAGCAATCCAAATGGTGGTGGGAATTTGTTGTTAATTAAATAAACAAACAAGAAACACCGGCGGATGAAATGAGAATTGCTCAAACTCAAGGTTATTACTTCCTAAGCATGGAACTACTTTAAGCCTAAACTAATTTGACAACTGACACAGAGAAAGGGTTTTTTTCTTTGGTGAGTTCAAAAAGGCCCGGTTTAATGATGTTTAAGAAACACCATTAAATCAGGCAACAAAGAGGACATCTCTCTTTTATGGTGGCTTGTTCTCCCATCCCCTACTCACAGGCTTCTACACACCAGCAGGCTACACTATGAAGAAGAGCCTTTCTGTTTTGCACGGAGAATCTAATTATGTAAAATCTTGCATATGGAACCAATTTAACTATTAAAACCAAGAGGCAGCAGGGAAGTATTTAATATGATTCCAGGCCAGTCCCCCCCCCCCACCTAAATCTGATATGGAAACATTTACGGCATTCCTCGCTTTCCCACAAACTAGTTTTGTTCAGTTAAATTTTGCACCAAAGCAAAAGTCAGTGCTGTGAAGACACAGGACTGTAGAGATGCTGGAACTGAAAGGTCTCTAATTCTCATCGTCAGCCTCTGCCCCCAGGGCTCGAGCATTAAGGAAAACTTCACTGCTAGGAGTTATAAGATGCATGTATTTTTTCCCTTTCTCTACAACAATACTAACAATCTAGGAATCTATTACTTTATGGCAATCAGTTTTTGGGAGGATGCTCCCAAAAAGGGTTTGTGTGGGGATGGGGGGTGTTTGGGGGGAGAATGCTGAGAATCTCAGGGTTTTATCACAGGGCGAGTTTGTCTAGAACTTCACTTTGTACTAGACCTACAAAAATCAGAAGCCAACTTAAAAAAAAAAAACCAACCCATCAGCTTCAAGTTAACACCATCAAAAGATATTTCCTTAACGTCTGAGGGTTTACGGTTCAGTAAGAGGAAAGGCAATTAAAAAGAAGCTTCTCAGCTTCCCACCTTTCTCCCAATCAACACAAATGTAAACAGACTGGATAAGGACCATCACCGAAACCTCCCGAAGAGCAAATTCTATTTTTTTTTTTTTTAATTTAAGGAGGTGAAGGAAAAATACAACTGGCTCCACGGCTTCGGAAGTCACTTTTCACTTAACAGGTTTAATGAAAGGAAGCAATACCGAGGTTTTCTTTTGGAGAGCGGAAACAGATTTCTTTTACATAATAAGAAACCTCAACACCTTTCCTTCCCCCAAATATTTCACACACTTAAGATCACGGGCAGCTCTTCCCTCTTTTGCTATACCAGTCACATATTATAAAAGTGATTCAATCTCACTTCCCGCAAGTGGTAGGGGAAAGGCACTAAATTTGCCGTGGGCGCATCCTACAGAAAGATTTCATCGCACACACCGCCAGCTCATCTCAGCGTCCTGAATGCTTCGACCTGTTAATAATTAATAAAATATGCCACCCAGTCTCCAGTGAAAAACACGGCGATCTGAAAGTAAACCCAGCGTGGATACGGTACGGGTGTCCTTCATCCTGGATTGCAACAATAGAATAATCTCAAATCTAGCAAACGTTTAACGAGCACCAGGTCGCCCGCGCTGGCGAGCAAAATCCCCGCAAGACCTTCGGGGTGCGCACAGTTGTTGCCCCTGAGAACAGCCGTCACTGTGACACAGACAGATGGAGGTTTAAATCCCCAAGCCGGGTGACCGGGCCTGCACACTGCTTGGGCAGATTATCCGCCCAAGAGGACCCAGCAGGCGCATGGTCGCGCAGAGTGCTGCGGGCTGAGTCGTTCCAGGGCCATCTGCAATGGTCGAAGTGTGTGTCTCGGTTTCTCCCTGTGCACAAGCAACTTCCTGCGCACCTCCAAACTTTGTCTCCATCACAAACTTCCCTGACTTGCCTGGGCTTCTTCCCGCCTCACCTTGGGGCACCTGAAGCCAGCCGTCCCAGCAAACCATTTTTCCTCTTTCCTTTCCACCCTACTACTACCCTTTTCTAGACAACAGATCCGGGAGGAAGGCCCGGGGCGCGGAGGCTTGACCGCAGCTAACCTGTGCCCGTAGGCCCTCGCCGCAGTCTAACCTTGGCCTCTGCCCTCCAATCTCCTACGCTGGTCGGGCTGTCTCCCTACATCAATGCACAAGCGCGCAGCGGCCGGGGCTGCGGCCGAGGGCTTCTTGGCATGTTCGGGGCGCGGGGCTGGCTCTGGCCCGCGCGCTTTCGGAAGTGGCGGCGTCCAGGGGACGCAGCGCTGAGCTGCTGCACTTTCCCAACCCACTGGCTGCTCGGGAACTCGGGCGCTCCGAGCCGCAGAGGGTGGGGTGGCCTTGCGGAGCTCGGACGCCAGGCCTGGAACGCTAACCAGTCTCGGCGATGACACCACCAGTGTTCGCAAGCAGGGCCCGGCCTGGCGCCTCCCCCCCTCCCCCCCAGGCCAGAGTTGTCCCGGGGTGCAGGCCCTGGGGACCCAGTGTGGACGTCCCCAGCTTTCTCCCAGTTAACAGACCCTCCCGGCGCGTCCCAAGCTCTGCGACTCTCGGCAAACTTTCTTTGGGGAGCCCTGCCGGGTGCCAGGCGCACCCAAGCGAGTGACAGCGCCTAAGAAGACGCCAAAGGGGCGATCGGGCCCACGCGTCTAGCTTCCCCGACCCGAGGGAGGCGGATCTTTCCTCCGGGTTCCAGTGGCAACGCTGTAGTGGCCCCGGAGGCCCCGTAGCTGCCCCTAGGCTGTACGTGCGCTCGGGCAGGCGCGCCCACCCCTCCCCCTGCATGCCCTCCTCCCCGCCCCCCGGAGCCGCCAGTCCACCGGAGTCCCTGCGGGCCACCCGGAGCTCACCTTTCATCGCTGCGATCACAAAATACATCCTTTACGCCGCGGTGCGGAGAGCGCAGGGAGAGCCGACCGTCCGACCCCGGAGCCCCCTCTCGCCGCCGCCGCCCGAGCCACAGCAGCAGCTGCCGCAGCTGCCCGCCCGCCGAGAGCCATCCCGAGCCATAAGAGGCTCCATGTGACCGGCTGACATCACGGCCGCCGCTCTGTTTACACCGCGCCCCTCCGCTTCCTCCCGGGGCGGGAGCGAGAGGCGGGAGGCGGGTGCGCCAGGGCGCCGCGCCCCGCCCCTGCGGGCAGGTGACCGCGAGCGGCCCACCCGGACCCGGTGCTGCCCTCCTGCGTTCCCGGGGGCCTGCACCGAGGTCCCTAGCCACCTCTTCAGTCGCTGATCACCTGTAGCGGCCCGGAAGCTCTTTGCCAAGCGTCTGACCACTTTCCACACGCCCACCCCACTCAGCTGAGCACCCCGACGCCACTCTACAGTCCGTCCCGGAACCCTTCTCCGTGACAAATGCACCTGATGGTTGGCCCCAAAGAAGCTTTTGGTTTGGGGGAGTTTCAGTCTTCCTCACGTCCCAGAGTATCTTAGCCCCTACGCCCGGCACTGACACCGGTCCAGGGGAGGAGCAAGCTCCCCCCTAAGACTTCCAGGACTCACCCAGCTCACAGCATCCAATGTCTTGGTTCCCTGCTGCCCTCTCCTGCAGCATCCTGCATTCAAAACCACCTGTACGTGGAAGACTAGAAAACCATGCCTGTCTGCTAAATGAGCTCCAGGTGTCAGGCAATTTGAGCCACTCATTTTCGGGCTCATCGTATTCAGAACTCTCCAGGGCGCTAGTTTGCTAACCTCAAAGATGAGACATGGTATTTTAAACAGAAGATACAACACACAACACCGTTAACCGTACAATTCCATTTACAACTGAGATTTAATTCCCTCCAACATTTGAAACCTTTTTTTTACTGGATTTATGGAAACGTAAATCATGGCTTTATTTTAGTCCCCAGATGAATCTCTTTATGATGAATTTCAAGACTACTTACCGGGAGTCTGCTTTACTTAAAGCCTTGGCAAGCATGCTTACAGTATTGAGCATAAGAGGAGAAAAATCTACTAAGCCAAATTTGCTTATCTACTGTTTTTCTTTTGAGAGACCCCTCCCCCATTCCTGACCATCAAACAGGAAGGGTTCTAGTATTTCTCTTTCCATAAAACCAAGCTGCCCTTGACCTTGCATTCACCCATTATTTAGAACAGGTTCAGACGTCCAGCTTTGTAGCAAACGAAGATCAGATCTGCCCACTCCCCACCTCCCAACCCCACTTCAAGGAAAAGTTCAAGTTTTCTAAACATTTACACAATGCTGGGACTAGAATGGTCAGAAAACTTCATTTTCTTTCAGTCAAACTATGGCCTTACAAAAATGTTTGATTAGACACATCCCAAGTAGGTTTTTTTTTTCCTTTAGAAATTTCTAAAAACACAACCATAAAAAATAAGAAGAGACAAGATAAGAATGTGAAGCCAGGACCTACCCATGTTAATTCAGCTGTCCAGCCATAGTGAAGTGGACAAGGGTTACAAAGGGAATCAGCCATACCCACTGTAATGTTTACAGTTATGAAATTAAATCACACCATGTTCCCATGATGCAACTCCATCTCCCAATGAGGCAATGCCCCATTCTTCAAATTTGGTTCTGGGTTTTCCTTGGGCTAACAATGTTAAGAGTGCCACCAAGCGAGCCGACCGGTGGGTTCTGATTGCATTTTCCTTCCCTTTGTGTTGCTAAAGAAGGGAAAATAGAACCACAGAGAGCATGCTCATGTGCGCTGTGCAATGCTGGTGCATCCTGGTACACAACTGAGAATTCGCCATGTTACTTTAAAACAGTATCTTGCTTTAGATAAGAATGCTTTGAAAATAACCAAATCCATTAGCTCCAGCCTGCCTGCCAGACATCTGACTCCAAGGTAAGCAGTCTTACATCACTAGTAATCGGTTATTTCCAGGCCATTTCAAATGAAATCGGTAATAGGGGATGACATGCGAGGTGACACGGACCCCCACAATTACAAATAGCCAGCGCTTTCATCCTATAGGGAGGTCCTCAATAGACAAAATCTCATCATACTGATTTGAAATATTTACACATTCATTCAACAAAGACATTTCTGGGATAATGTAATCCTGACCTTGCCCTTTGGGAATGTATTGCTCTTACATCCTACAACTAATGAGCGGCGGAACCCAGATATTAAGTCCTAACCTTCCCGGTAGCTCGATGCTATTTGTAATACATGCCTCTATTACCTAGCATCAGCTTTTAACCTAGGGGAGATAATTGTTCTTCATAGTAACAGCTTTTTATGAAACTTGTAGGAATAAAAATGAGAGGCTTAAAAAAAAGAGATGACCCATAGGATAAATTTCCTATGGAATTATAAGTCTGTGACCAAACAAATCAGCCATGAACAAAAGGCTATATATCTTCTTTCAAGAAAATCAAATTGGAACCGCAGATGATACATTCTGTATAAAATATCACCCAGTAAATTAAAATACCACCATATAGGGACACGGTACAATATTAAAACATTACAAGTATACAGGAATAATTGGATTTTATTAAATAAATGCAGTGGAGTATCTAGGGGGAAATAGCTTTAAATATATATTCTTTGCATCCTTTTGAACAAATGATCTGAAAGGAACAAAAGAACAAGAAGAATATTGCTTATAAGAAGGTAATTCCATAGGACAGGAATTCTTTCCTGCTAATGGGAGAATGTTAGACATGGACTCTCAAACATTTATATTGGGTCAAAATGGACTGCAGTCATGTACCGTTCACCTCAGAGTGTACAGATGGCCACAGACTCTCATGGGGTCCCACTTAGCTTGATCACACTGGATCTGGCACTTGGGAGGAAGTGGAGGCACAGTGTAGATCTCAGACTGACCCAGAACACTCATGGGCAGAGTCTGGTGCGCTTCTGTAGGGATCTGGACTGGAATATGACCAGGAAGTTGCCAACCTCTTTCAGTGGTCAAGAAAAGGATCTGGGATCCAATCCACAGGGCCAGTTCATCAATCTAGACACACAGCTGCCCCAGACGCTGAGATAGCGATGGACAAGGACTTAGCCCCAAACAAATGTCATGCATACTACTCTCTCTAAGGTTCAAAGAACCTTGTAGAGTTAGAGTGGAAAGAATGTAAGACCAGGAAATGGGCAGTGAAGTCCTATTCTCTTGACACCAGTCAACGTGAATTCACAGGAGCTGCAATTGCTTGCAAGGAGCCTACTCAAGAAAGGGCTTTTTGACAGTCATGGGTGTGGAAAAGCTCAAGAGTCCCTACCCTTTACTCTAGGAGAGGGGGAACCCAACCACTGTTTTCAGTTGTTTACCCACTGGTGAACCTGCCAAAATCTAATGGATAATTCTGATCTTAAGGCCATACACATGACCTTGGTCAAACCCAGAGGGATACAAACAAAAGAAAGAGATGGGAGTGTGGGAGATTAGTAGGGATGGGAAAGGAAGGCTGGACAGATGGAGGGAGGAGAGAGATGGAGGGATGAGAGCAAGCAGAGTGCATCATATACATGCATGAAATCATGAAAGGACAAATTTATTAAGAAACAATTCTTTGCTTTCTGAGATTTAGATTTTTACCACACAGAGATCTAATCATATGATATATTACACCCAAGCATGTATATAAGGCTTTTTGGGAGAATAGCAAACCAGTTTGTGCCAACTCTCCAAGATCCCAGAACAAGACGATTTCGACATTTGCTGATGCAGGTGAATAACAGCATTTTGGTGTTCTCCCCCCACCCCTCTCTTCCTTCTACAGCCTGATAATTCAGTTCATTTCATTTTAATTGACTGGGGAGGAGGTCACCTAAAGGCTATCATAGTCCTATGCACCTGTTCCATCTGGGTCCTTGGTCACCCTGCACTAGATTCCTCAGGAGCTGGACCATTCTGGCCAAAACAGAGCCAGGGGATCAGCTTTCTGAAAGGCCAACAGCTACAGAGAAGCTACAGAGAAGGCATCCATTCTCCTACTTAGATCAGGGCCTTGCTAAATTGTAAATCTAGAAGGTTCCAGGTCTCACAATACAACATTTGATGAATAATAATGGAGAGATCCAGAAATCAAAGGTAAGAGAGGAAATCCTTAATACAGTTTTTAAACCTTTTAATATACTTTGTCTGTCTTGCTCACTATTTTAAGACCAAAGTAGAGGAGCATTTAAATATACACTGGTGTATGCAAATATTATCCAAGAAATCTGGTGAAACACAGTATTTTGGTAGCGAAAGATGCCTTTGGTTTTACACACACACACACACACACACACACACACACACACACACACTTACTTCTGTAACTAACCACAATTACTGACTATCTATTTCATGCCTGGACCTGTACTCCAGAATGCAAAGAGAACAAGGTGATTGCTTTGGTCTTGAGAAGGTTACCAGTGAGATGACCTTTGCTCTAAAACCCTACAGAAGTCAGTCATTTCCCTGAGCAAGGCTGCACTTTTCTGCAGAGCCAGTATCTGAGTGACCTTGTCCACTAGCGCTGGATGGATGGTTATGGACCACTCCTGCGCCTATTAGTGGAATAGATCATTGAGATGGGTGCCTTGGCTAGAGTCAGGCAGTGCTTCATGGACTTTGGGATTTCTGGAGCCAAATGTTTCATATGGCTATTAGGAAACTCAGAGATTTGGCCCGAGTTTTGTAACCATTACAATGAGGAAAAGGTTGACATTCACTGGCAGGCAGAGATGACCAGCCTCCACAGACTACGTAGGCAGCAGGTGCTTCACCACACATACACCTGCTACGATGGCAAGCAAAGAGAAGCAAACTGGAGAAGAAGGCCCGTATTCCGTTAGATTCCCAGGGGAAACTCCAAACTACACATTAAAGCTAGAAGAATAGGCTATGCATGAAACCATGTTTTTCCTTTTTTCCTTCCTTCCTTCCTTCCTTCCTCCCTCCCTCCCTCCCTCCCTTCCTTCCTTCTCTCTTTCTCCTCCCTCTCTTTTAGAGTTAGCATACAAAGTAATGAGTTGGATGTGATGTCTGTACGTACAGTCACTGGACTTGTTCTCAATTGCCCATCTCTCCCACTGCTCT